CTGGTTTCGTGGTTGATTTCTCCATAACAGCCGGTTCCGCCATGCTTTTGTCTTCGGCAAATTTCTTCGCAGAGGTTGACTATGGGATTTGGTGACTCGACATCGACCTTCTCATGGGAATCCAGAACGGCACGAATGAAGGCATTTCCCGTTAATTTGTCGACGTCGACTGAATGTCCAAGATCTCTAGGTTTATGGTGACGGATGACGATATCTTCCCACATAGATTCTGGATGAACACTGGATAGTTGGCCGGCTCTGCTGAAGTTCATGGCCAGGTGAATATCGGCATTCTTTAGAACCTCCTCGTCACTGCGGTAAGCCATCCCCGCATGGGCTTCCATCATGGCCTTGAGATATACTTCGTGCGAGCAACTGCCTGGTAAACTGGATAGTAGAGCACAATAGACGCTCCCGGCAAGCTCATGAAGTAGCTGCATCGATCTACCTCGCGATCTTAGTTCTCTTTTCGGAGCCATTTCGATGCTTCGATCCACCAATGACTCTATATCTGCAATATTGTTCTTTATGACTGTCATTTCTTCTGTGTATGTGGACTTATTGACAGCGAATAACATGCGTCTGAGCGCTGTGACGTTAGGTGCGCTGCTGCGTGGCTTATGCTGGACTAAAGTGAGCATACAAGACCAGCCAAGTTGTCACAAAGGATCTTACCTCACTACTCAATGAAACGTCAATCGACTTCGCTATTTCTTCGATGGCCGATTTAATGTCCCCAACCTTTTCAAGCAGTATTTGGTAAGGCCTCAAGTGCCAGAGTCTGGCTTCAATCTTCTTGCGAACGTTGTCCTCGTGCCATGAAGGACCAAATGGGTCGTTGACCATGTCGTCAATTTTGGAGTCTGGTACAATGCCAGTCAGAAGCTTCTCACTCACATCCTGAAGCCTGATGTTTTCGTTCTCAAGGTCAGTGATAAGGCTCTTCAGCTCCCTGTCGTACCTACGCCAGATTCGTATTGATGATGCGCCATGCCTGTAATGTTCAAGTGCTGATATGAGGAGAGGAATGGTACCAAGGACCACGCCCACCACCTCAAAGCCAGACATCGTCCAGGATCTGGGGGGTTTTCGGATGTTGCGATATGCTTAACACTCCGAGGTCGATGAGATTCATTGTCGTAGGAAATCAGCCGCATCCAACCCCTCTTCATTATCTGCATATTGAGGGGAGATAAGCGCCCAGCCACCATAGGCCAGCCTCGCATGGTGCCTTCTTCATGCATGCGGGGAAACTTTACAATGATCCATACATGAAGATTTCGACAGTAGACTGAAATAGTCTCGTTTCCTAGTTCAACGTCTTCATAGTGCCATACGAACAGCGCTCGTAGGCATACCTGAGCGCTCTTATCGTCCTCAGTCAAGTTGATCTCACACCTCAGTGGCTGCGTTGACCAGCTGGGTCCGGGTGCTTTATCTAGCCACAGATACGAATGACTTCAATCACCCAGATCGTCCAAAAGTCCGAAATCTCAGCTAACTGTTTGATCGACATCATTGACAGGACGTTCTCTCCTCATACGACGCTCAAAACACCCACTTCGAACCTTGATGGGCATAAATAAGCAAGTCACTTCTGCCTACATCAGACCGGCTCTCGTCATGGATCCCACGCTTGCAGAGAATGCCCTCAAAGTTATTAAGTCTTTCGAAGAGTTACTGAGAGTATGCGGGCAACACAACGTACGACCTGCCGCCGGGTCTGAACTTTCAAGTCTCAGAAGCGATTTAGCTAGGTTAAAGGCATGGTACGCGGACGTTACCACTCACGAGGACGCCAAGTTAAAAGGATACTACCTAGAATACCGCCTGCGTAGTGCTTCACACATCCATCGTCAACTCCTTCAACTCCTGGACAGTCTCGACGGTACGATCAGGGATGCAGAAAGCATAGTCTCCGGGAGAACGGTTCCATGGGAAGAGCTTGACTACGAAGAGGACCTCATCGAGAGTCTTAGTGAAGGACCGCAGACCGAATTCCAACAGATCGCAAAGGAAATATGTGGAATCGTTGATTGTCTGCTGAGACTACGCGTGGCCACTAAAGATCCTGCTCCCCACGACCGTATCATATCTTCCAGGCATCGTAAGAGTCCAGAAGAGCTTACCTTCGATATAGATCTCATCAGAAAGACTTGGGTTGAAACGGAGGAGTTTCTAATTGAACGGGTGGGCAGTTCAGTGTACCAAAGGCGGGAAGAGCTAAGACAAAGAAGCCGTGATCGAACATCGTCAATGACCTCGGAACTATGGAGCGGTAGACAACCGTCAGACGCTATTCGAAGAAACCAGAAAGCAGCAGAGTCAGTGCTCCTATCACGTTCAGGGGTCGTCAAACCTATCACAGAACTCGATCCAGAGGATGACCCCGTGTTGTCCCACAGTACCAGTTATACTATACGAAGTATTCAGACCGACGTCGAGAATCTTTTTCACGGATCGATTTCAAAAATCATTGAGTGTCCGTACTGCAACATTACATTGAATTTTGGCCGCGATAGCGTAGAAACGTGGATGTAAGCAAAAGCACAACAAGACACATTGAACAATGTAGACTAACTGAAAGGCGAAAAGGCTTCATGTACTCAACGACCTGCAACCATACATTTGCGTTTCGGAGGATTGCCTGATCCCCGCTCAGACATATGTGACAGAGATCCGGTGGATACAACATATGCTCGCAAATCACTGGAGAACATACAAATGCCCACTAGGATGCGCAGAAAGTTACACAGACGCGACTTCGTCAGCGAACCATGTTCTCCAACGGCATCCAGGCATAATACCCAAGAATCAACTGCATGACTTGATTGCCCTCAGCTCTAGTCCAGTTCCAGAGATGACAGCGAAAACGTGCCCATTTTGCTCAAAAGCAACGAGATCTCTGACAGAGTTCCAATCTCACGTTGGGAAGCACCTCAGAGAAGCGGCTTTGTTCGTCTTGTTAGGAGACGAAAGCCGACTATTAGAGCGGCGGCCCCCAATACAGCACGGAAGTCTCGGAGAGACCGTCCAAGTCACTCTTGGACGTATTATGAGAAGTAATGCAAGACTTAGACAAGCGTTGAATCCAGGAAACCCGTTTCAACCCGAGCCTAGGGATCTCGAAGCCCGCGATGCTCATGAAGTCGCAGCAGAGAAGTACGGGGAGCGACGAGAAGATGAGACTCAACAAGACTATGAGCAACGTATGATGATTAGGTGGCAAATGCTATGGCAGGGACGTGGCAAAGTTCCTGGGGTTTCCGGCAAACGCTCCATCCTAGACGCAAGCGAGGACCAAGAGGGCAGTGAGGCAAGGCACTCGAGCGATAATCGGGCGATTTCTCAACGCAAATCGAGTCTATTCACCTCAGGTCACGCTAAAGACACATCGAAGATTTCTTCAATAGACGATGGAAACCAGTGGTCCCGACAAGATCAACAATTTGACGAGGGTAGAGCAGGGCGTCGTCTAACACGCAAGGCCGTAGAGCCCCGCCGCCGTATGGAGGGATATTCTCTGCCTTTGTATCCTGAATCAATTCAGGATAGATCAGACTCGGACTAGCAGCGCCAGTTCAAAAAGAAGCAAATTTTCATCACAGCTATCGCTATCGCAGTGGCTGGCTCGAATGCAGTGGTTACGAGATGGCAAATACAGCTTGGGGAAACCCTACTTATCAGGTCATCTCATCGCTTCAAAAGGTGTTCACCATCCAAAATCCATACGAAGAAACTGTAAATTTCATCGGAGGATAGTATACCGTCTTGCTGTGGTAAAACCTGTACATGTCAGGGTGTCAGCTGCCAGATCAGCTTCCAATGGCTCGACTACATATACTTTCTCATATACATCTTGTCTCAAATCCTCATCGTTCAAACCCTGTTAGGACCGTCAAAAGTCCGCGCCTATACAAATTCTAACCGAGAATGCATCACGTGTACTATCTAGGGCGTCTCTTACCATGAGGGTATCAAATGTCATATTGCGGGTTCCATCTCCCGAAGTCTCGTACTGATATCGCAGTCTGCCAATAAGTGAGTAGCACCGAAGTTGAGGAGCTTGAGCCCTGCTAACAGTCCGACATGCTCCGCCATCAAGCTCTCATTTAGACTCCTCACTTCACAGTCATAGTTGCGCCAGGTTCTCGTCGTCGCCATGATTCCGACTAAAACCTATTTGATAAGGGGACGAGACCGACTATCTCTAAGCCATATATATTCGATTGATTAGACTCTTCGAGTACTGTCGATGGTGCCAGGTTTTAAAATGACTGACAATGATTTGGGAGAGGAGCGACAATCAACACAACCCAGTCGCCACCTATCTTCCTGGAGTTGATCGGCCGGCTACACACAAGAGACTTTAATTCTTTCTTCAATAGCGGCGTCATCACCTGACTGCAACAATGAAACTCTGTTCAAAGTAAGATGTCTTTCGAGAAGAAAACGTGACCGTGTTGCTGCTGAGACTGAACAGTCTCGCTTGGCTCCTTTGTTCGTCATCTGGGACTCTGGCATATAAATCCGCCCATCCAACAGCTCTCTGATGAACTGAAAAGTAATAAGAAGAACTCAGACACAGCCTTGCCATGCAGTCCCCGTGTTGTCCCACCGAGCTGGAAGCAGATCGTTTGGCGAGTCTCGTCTCGAAAGCGGAAGCTCTTTTCTCTGACTTATCGCGGACTTACAAAGGTCGACCCCTCAATCGTTTCTTGTATGGCTATTTTCACACTAGATACAAGCTTGTGGATGAGCAGGCCAGATTCAAAGCCTGGGTTAGAAACGTTGGCGCTCACAAAACAGACCGCTCTTCCCTCGAGTATCGACTCCGAGATGCGTCAAACATAAGGGTTCAGGTTCGGAGGCTTCTGATAGAACTTCTTTAAACCATCGACGAGGCCATCAAGGCTTTCAATGATCTAGGGCTGGCACCAACTGCGTCCAATGGTGGCAGTCAGGACCACAAGGACATAGTCACAGAAATTGGCGCAATCATGGATGACTTTCCTGACATCATCAACTGTCTCATGCGACTCATTATCACGATTCAGAACCCAGCGCCATGGGACCGTTTTATGGGCGCCAAGTTCACAGACACCTCGGCGTATGAGGAATACGACACTCAACATGTGAGCGAAAAATTTGAGGGAATCGACAGTCAACTTGCGCAGCGCTTAGGAAAGGCAATCTCAAGGCGGCGGCAGTCCTTCAAGTACAGAGAGGCTCGTCACGAGAAGCTTTCGCACCAGGTTGATGGCCAGGCAGACAGCGACTTGACTGAGGTCCTGTCAAGTACTGTGGCATTTTCTATCTATGATTCGAAGCCTCTCTCGCAGACCAACGACTATAGCGACTCTTCTTTGAGGCATGAGGTGGCTTCGGTGACCTCATACGACGCCTCAACTTTAGGAGATCCTCAAGAAAGGTCGATTCCAGATCTACCAAAGGAAGCACATGACAGACCATTTGAATGCCAATTCTGCTTCATGCTTGTGGACATAAGAGACACTCACGCCTGGAGGTAGTGCCATCACTTCATCGCAGCTGCTCATTGTACCTTAGCTAACTTCTGTTCTTAGACAGCATGTTTACAGCGATCTACGTCCATATAACTGCCTAGCTGAAGACTGCATTACGCCAGACCAAGATTTCGAAAAGCGGCATGTGTGGATGGAACATATGCTGCAAAATCACCTGAGAATCTGGCACTGCCCTTTTGATTGCGACTGCACTTTCAAGTCTGCGTCCCAGTCTATCGAGCATGTGCAGACGCAGCATCAGAATATGATACGTGACGACCAAATCGACATTTTGGTCAAGCTGAGTTCACGACCCTTGGGCGAAAGCGCGGAGGTGACCTGTGAACTTTGCTCCGAGACGCTCTCATCGTTGAAGAACTATCGGCGTCATGTGGGGAGGCACCAACAGCAGCTGGCTTTGTTCGCTCTTCCCATGGTGGACGAACCAGATGCGGAACGAGGCCAAACCAACCAGCAACAAGATTCTGACTCTGACACCGAGGCCGAGGCCGACTCTAACGACGAGACCAAGGCTGAATCTAAGGACAAGACGATCTCCAAGGACAAGACAGCCTCCAGAGACAATGCGGATTCACAAGACAAGACTGACTCTAAGGACAAGGGCCGGGGCCCTGGCAATCATCCGCCTACGACATTCACCGTCAATATAAGCAGCCCGTTACAGGCGAAGCCGAGGCCGTCTTAGTGCCTCACCCCGGAAACGGCACACGGTCAAACGTGGCCGCCACTCTTGACGTACCTAGGTTTTGAAAGTAGGTCTGACCAATAGAGGCTGGTTGTCAATCGCCGAGAGACTGGCGCACGTGAACGAGAGCGAGAAACGCCAAACCTACTCTGTACACCTTCTACAGGAAGAGACTGGCAGCCTGAAGGCGGCATGTACTTGACACGAGGGGCAGGGGACTGCGACTGATATCACAAATCGAAATTTTGTTCCGTGGCTGGCGTTATTCAGGAGTAGAATCACTCTTTTTATAGTTAACAAGGAACTTACGGGGCACATACAGTCTTCAAACAGCATCGTGATGACCCTCAATACACGCTTAGAAGCCTGCTTTTTTCGTGCGATTTGAGCTAGTACGTATGATTAGACGCCGGTTTCCCGAATCCTGGAGGCCGTACCAATCGGCCAAGTCGGATTCTAGATTATCAGCTCTCAAATAGATCATCAACTACGATTTACTAAAACGCTTCGCCGATCCAACTGGGACCCATTAAAGTCGGAACAGACCCCAGGTGATCGTTATCAGTAGTCTGTCGTGAAAATATGTAGAGATTACATATCGTCATGGAACGGGGTGAGGAAAGCCAATGTCACCAAGAATGGCCCCATACTCAGAGGCGGGTACCCACGCAGAAGGAGACAAGCCTCAAAGCGCTAATCAAACCTGAAGCTTTGTAGTACAGGCAATAGACACATCATAACCATCAATTCCGGCAAATATGTACTTTCCATTAAGTCCCCCAACGATATCACCTTCTACCCCTTAGTAGGAGCTTCTTCAACTATACCGAAACGACTGCTACCACGATGCCTCCCGACACCACCCCTAGTAGCTTTTCCATGCAATATTGAGAAAGAAAGGGCAACACTTTCAGAACCGAAAACCCAGAGATGACAGCAACACTGATATTGATGAGCAATAGAGCTATTGCAGTGGCCTCACGATGATCAAATATTTTCTATGGATGTATAATGTTATCGCAAATCTTCCACCTTCAGAAATTCGACCAAATACCCCAGTGACTTCGAGTTCAATATCTATATACCGCCGATCTCAGGCAGGTTAAATGTTGGGGCTCTGCTAAATCATGGACTCCAGAGGTGTCATGTCTTTCTGGATAGTCTAGCCACGTTCTTTTCCGTGGCTGGAAGTGTTGAGAGCTGCGTTTGCACGCTGAATTCCCTTATAACCATGAACTCTTCAGTCTACCTCGCCTTTCTTCAAGTTAAATGTAGCGAACAGGAGAAGTTGGCTTTAAAGGTGAAATTCTTTTCACTTTCCTTTGAGTACCAAGGCCAAGACGTCTCTTCATAGAGTTGATGGCTGCTTCTATTACGTGCTTAAACGTGTCGAACGACTGAGAGGGAAGCGACAAGAAACAGCTTCGCGGACCATCTTCCTGGGATTGGCCAGTCTGACCTACACACCATCGATTGATATTTTTGGTGACAAAGAGGGATCATCGTTTTCTCAAAGACAAAGCAACTCTGTTCACTGTCACATGCAGCATTTGGAAAGAAAACGCGACCTCGTCACCGCTGAACCCGAACAGTATCGATGGGCTCCTTTGTTCTTCATGTGGAAAGCTGACATATAAATATGTGTCTCTAGCGGTAATCTCTGACGAGTTAAAAGAAGAAGAAAAGCATGAACGCCAATCAGACACAGCCTTTCCAGCCTGCATCAGCCTTCATTTTCATAATTTCACGTCGATGCAATGGCAGAGAGTATCATGAGTGCTGTATTGGAGACGACAAACCGATTCTCTAGTCTCTTACCAGTCACCCAAGATCCTGAACCTCATCCACTGAACCAGCATCTTCAGTTCCACCTGCAGGACGAAAGAGATATATTCATACATTGGGCTGGATCCTTTAAAGCGCGCAAAATCAACCGCAATTTCCTCGACTACCGACTGCGAGATGCGTCGAAGCTCAAAGATCAGACTCTGACGCTTGTGAACGACTACCTTCAGACCCTAAGCAATACTTCCAAGTCTATTAAAGATCTGCAGACGGCACTGAGTTCGCCTGATGGTCGCACGTTGGATGGCTTAACTCAAGGGGATATCAACGCATATTCAGACGCAAACCCTGACGACGTCCCTCCCCTCCTCGCAGAGTCAGCCAGAATCGTGAGCGAGGTCATCGAAAGACGCTCTGCTCTGTGGAGTCTAAGAAAATCTCTTCAAACCCCAGATCCATGGTACGAATCCCTCAGCTCAGAGCTAATAGATACCTCTGCATATGAAGCATTCGATATCCAGCACGTAAGCACCAAATTCAAGGGGACTGAAGACTACCTTGCCCAACGGCTAGGAAAAGCAATCTCAAGGAGGCGTCAGTATTTTAAGTACAAGAAGGCTCTTCACGAAAGGCTTTCGCAACCTGTAGACGACTAGGTGTACAACATGACGAACATTCAGCAGGATGCTATGGCATCTTCCATCTCCAATCTCCCGCAAAAGTTCTCAGAGACCAGCATCTGTTATGATTTATCAATTTTATCCTCAGACGAATACGGAACAAGTGCATACGACTCTACATCAAGGTCAATCCCAGACCTGCCGGAGGAAGCACTAGACGGGCCGTTCGAATGCCAATTTTGCTACATGCTTGTTGAAATACAAGACTATCACACATGGAGGTACTTCAAGTAGTCATAAAATCCTTGATTATCGCCGCTAATCGTTTTTAGACAACATGTGTACGACGACCTGCGCCCATATAGCTGCTTGGCAAAAGACTGCGAGATGCCAGATACTGATTTCTTCAGGAGGCGCGACTGGATGAAGCACATGATCGACCATCATTTTAGCACATTCTACTGCAGATCTAAATGCGGTTGCACATTCTCGTCAGAATCTGAGTGCAGAACGCATGTGAAAACACGGCATTCAGATGAACTATCTAGAATTCATAGAGACCACACCAACGTCATGGTGATGTCTGCTTCCGTGAAGGATGAAGTCGAACTCTCGTGCCCTTTTTGCTTCGATAAGATACCCTTGAAGAATTACGAAATCCACGCCGGGAAGCACCAACAGGAGCTGGCATTGTTCGCCCTTCCTAATATTGACGGTTACACTTCAACTTGGACTGAGCACAAGAAAAAGCCCGATCGATGGTCCAGGCTATGGAACTGTCTTTCATGGTACATGGCACACGCGAAAATTGCGATAACGAGCCTCGGGCTTAAGAAAGTTTGGGAGTTTCTTCGAGTCTAAGGCCGAGATAGAGTTTGAGATCGAGCCCGTTTGGAAAAACGAACCGCCACCGAAACTTGACAAAATGTCGCAAGAGACTACAATTACACATTGCTACGAGATAATATTTTAGATTTGTTTACAATATTCACATATGAGAGAAGCATACGTCATGATGGTTCGAGCAATCTTAGCGGCATCCAGCATAAGATAGCTATTGGGGGCGCCAGAGTAGGAACCCGACACGGAGCAGCAGGCGAAAGGCTACTTGTTTTCGCCCATAGAAAGTTGACCGCAGTACGTGAGGTATACAGACCGCTCAGGTGCCTGATCGCTAATGGACGTTGGGCCTGGGTATTCGGGCGATACGAAGCAGGCTCACAACCAGTCAGCGGTGTTCGCATTCGACGGAGAATGCTATTCACACGCCGCCGGCGAGCTGACAGGAGAAAGAGTCAGATGTTAAAGCTTGAAAGCTCTCGTGACGGGGACAGTTTAAGCCAGAGGTTGATGCAGGCGAGCGTCAGCTATCGAGAGGCTGACATGCGGATGAGGTGACTGGAAAACCGTTTTCGTTGGCTGTCTCTGAAAGGCGTTGTTTGTTTCGACAGGAGAAAACGTAAGGGGTCCGACAATGACTGACGCCGACTGCATCTTTATCTCGGGGCGGGTGTCGCATAGATCAAGCGGGGAGGCGCTGTGCGAGAGAATCGAACAGGAAGGCTTTAGCACAGACGATAGACTCATGATAAATACCAATCTCGACAAAGAGTACTTTTCATTAAGTCCCCCAACGACACCGCCTTCCAATCCTTAACAGGAGCTTCTTCAACTACCTCAACACGGAAACGACTGCTACCACGATGCCTCCCGACGCCACCCCTAGTAGCTTTGCCATGCAGATATAAAAAAAAGGGAACACTTTCAAACCAAGACCGAGAGATGACAGCAAGGCAGACAGGAAAAGGGGGAGGAAGAAGGCAAAAAGTGTTGTGGGGTATGTGTCATTACGAAGAAAGTGATTTTTGTTTGTGTGTGAAAATGTGTATTACAACGGTGGTGTGGACTGCCTCCCTTTTTTTGCCTTATGTAACCAGAATATTGCTAAATGCGTCCGATATCTCGGATGGTGTCGGGGCTTGGAACTTTTCTTGCGTGAAGCCAGCAGCCAGACGGTCCTGCATGACCTTCAGCAGGACAGCGGGGACGCTCTCGTCTGTGGCGCGGATGGTGAGACGGATCATCTAGGCAGACTTAGTATCACTCATTACTAGTATAATATCAGGGGTAAAACAAACCTTGGTTCCGTAGTTCGGCTCAAGACGCATCAAGCAACCAAACTTGCCTGCCTCTGAGGTATGCAGGACACTGGCACCGACAAAATTCTTCGCGTTGGGGTCGACTCCGTCAAGGACACGCCATCTGAAGCCCTCGACCGTCTGCCGTACAAAGAACTCGTTCAACTCTCTATCCGACTTACCAGGTGCCAGACCAAAGATCGCTTGGGCCTCACGAGGGGCACCGCCAATTTGCTTCCATCGCCTGAAGAAGTCGTCGGCGGAGAGATCTGCGGGGTCCATGAACTTGTGTGCGGTGAGGGGAAGCTTGAGGGTGACAGCCTGCAGGGCACCGGCAAGGTAGCTAATACGTATCGTTGGGCTCTTGTCAAACACCTTCTTCGACTCGAACATGATGACCTGCTGAGACTGCCCATTCTGATAGATTGTGCTCTCCGGCAGGTTCTTCACATCCCAT